ATCACTTTGCTGAGACAGAGGGCTTGTCGGCATGTCCATTTTCCCCTAGAGGAATCTGCCCCTGGCGTTTTAGAGCTGCGCAGACTTTACAGAGCATTTGTGCAGGCAGGGAAACTGAGGATCGGTGTGGGGAGGGGACCCCTCACCTCACTGAAGTGCTGTCTAGGACTCTCTCCATATACAAATGCAGGATGATAATAACTCCGTTTGCAGAAAAAGGGCTTTACAGTTTGTATCTATTCTCCTATTTGATGTTCATAACAACCTCTCAAGACCAATAAGGGCTTTTGATTAATAAATGACAGATAGATAAATAGATAGATAGATAGATAGATAGATAGATAGATAGATAGATAGATGTAGATAGACAGATAGATATGATATATGAGTAGGTAGGAAGGTGGGGGAAAAAGAGAGAGAGAAAGAGACTCATAGAAGAAACTAGTGAATGTCGGGGTGTTAATAAATCACTAAGGTGGCTTACCGGGAAATGTGGCATTCGTATCTTGCTTCTCTCCTTTCATCCCTTGTGACAAAGACTTTTCTGGTTGGCTAGGACAGAATGTCCTTAGGGGCTGGACTTCCTGGCCCTGAGAGGGCCTTGCCCCGTGCTGGGCCCTTGGTCTGTCACCTCCAGGTTCTCAGGAGCAGAGCCTGGCTTGTGGGCTGCTGGCTGAGTAGCTGGTTGACACACTGGTGTGGAGGCTGGAATTGGAGATGACCTTGCCTTTCACCAGGACATGAACATAGATAGCACTTGCCACTGAAGACAGCTGCCTCAGAGTTTGTGGCGTGTCAGGGTGGTTAAATAGGAGCCCCACCAATGTCTGGGAGCTCCTGGGAGCTCCTGGAAGCTCCTCAGGCTTTCAGAAGAAGTCTCCCTGGGCCCTTACTTGTAGGAATTCTGCCCCACTTGAGCCCCTCTAGATCTTATTGACAGTCTGATGACTTAGCAGATGGAGATCACCTCCAATCAGGCCCTAATTCTGCTCTAAAGCCCTCCATGGCTCCTTATTGCCCTCTATGAAAGGAGTAGATGGAGCTTGGAGCTTGAGACCACCTTCCACCACTGCCTTTCATAAAGGGAAGGAAATCTGGTATTGAAGAGCACCTAGAATGCTCTTTGTAGAGTATTTTTTTAAATACCCATTTTGTAGGAGGTAAAACTGAGGCTCAGCGAGGATATGTAACTGACCCCAGGCCACACTTCTAGGAAGTGAGAGCCAGGAATCACACCCAGGTCCTTGTGTCCAGACTCCAAGCCCTTAACCCAACTGAAGGAAAGTGTGCGAGAGATGGCACAGTTGTCTTGGGGGAAGCACTTAAGGAGGACAGGATGGATGTTATGAGGAGGCAGACCTCAGCTCAAGACATTCCATACTGGCTGTTGCTGGAGAAGTGAAATGAGCTCCCCATCATGGGAGTTATGCAAAGGGATGCCTGTTGCCCATCTGCTAGCATGTCGTGGAGAGCCTCTGGCTTGACATCAGTAGACAGATCATTTAAACCCACTGGAGGGTAGATTGTGTGGCCTTCACTAAGAAGTGGTCCAGCTGGACACTATCTGCTAGACTCACCCACCCACCACTGGGCCAGAGTTCCCACCACCCGCCTGTTTGTGCCTTCCTCTGGCCTTGTTGCCAGGCAGAGCTGGCAACAAATAGCCAGTGCATGCCAGAGCTCCCTCATCACACCTGGGGAGGGAGACTGGACACAGTACCCTCCCACTCTGGCCACTGGCATTTCTCCCTGCACCCCAAAAGCAGCCAGCACTCAGCCACCACTCAGTAATTATCACTGAGCAGTCGGCGGAATAATCCACATAGACTGGACCTTGGGGGACACAATCCAGATTCAAGGAGCTTTCTCCAGCTAGGAGGGGAGCAGAAAAGAAGAGACTGGTGCCTGGATACCAGTCACTCTGCTTTGAAGTCAGTTCACAGCCCTGAGATGAACCACAACAGCAGCAGGTGGTACCCACAGAGCACTTGTCATGTGCTACAGATCATCTCACACGCACCATGCAATGGCCCTGGGACGTGGATGCTATTATTGGTCCCATTTTACAGACAGGAAAGCAAATGCTGTCACCTTCCCAAATCAGTTCCTAAGTGGTGGAGCTAGGACCCACTACCAGGCATTAGGAGTCCGGAACCTGACTCGTAGGCACCAGGAGGCAGGCAAAGCGAGTCGGCTGTGGGGTGGAGGAGAGGGTTATGGGAGCAGGAGACAGAAGCAAGGTTGCCAGAGCCCAAGAAGCTCAAGCCTCTGTGGGGCCAGGGCTCGAGGTCTTCTAGAGGAAGTAGGCCTGAGCAGGTTTCCAGAATATTCAGAGGCACAGTGCAGGCCTTAAAACTAACATTCACTCTGGAGCCAGAAAGAGTAATATTCATCCTTGCTGCTTACTTGCTGTATGAGCTTGGGCAAATCACTTCACCCCTCTGAACCTTAGGTACATTTTCAGAAAAATGGGGCCAATAATGCCCAACACCTGGTGCTCTGAGGATCTAGTGAGACTGACCACTTCATGGCCACAGGAGAAACAGGGATGGTGTGGCTCCCATTCCAGGCTGTGGTCCCCACCCAAGGGGCTTCTTCTGGGTGGGGAAGGTGGAGCCATTTTCAGGGCCTGAGCCTGAGCTGTACTCTGGCTATGCCTGGAGCACAGGGTAGGGAGCAATGGTGCATTTGGATTATTTTTACTGGAGAGAGTTATTTTCTGCTAATCTAGGTCAGCCCAGCCAGGGGGCAGCATGAGCTGTCTTTCAGTCCAACTGCATAAAGCAGATGGCCTGGCCCACTGTGGGACTGAGAACAGAGAGCCAGCATGGCCTTGGAACTGTACAGGGGCTGTCTTAAACTTTTGCACCCTGGTTTCTCATTGCCCCCAGATGGGAGGTCCAGACAGCTCTGAGGTGGTGGTCCTGAAGCTAAGAACAGAGTCACTGGGACTCCTGACTCCTTGAGGACACAACCCAGGCACTCTGACACAGGCTTGCTGTGTGACTTTAATGAGTCTTTCCCCCTTTCTGGGCCTTTGGTGTTTATTGTTGGCCTGGTGAAACCTGAGAAGTGTAAGGAGTGATGGAGATGTGCACACAGTAGGCCCTCAGGAACTCGGCCAGCGAGGGAGCTGGTGCAGCTTGAGGTGAGGCTTATGGGTGGCCATTTCCTTGGTCTCAGCTATGGGCAGTAGGGTAGGAACTCAAGCGATTGTCAAAATCTCTGGGAGAGCCTAGCCCTAGCTCATCCTGACTCAAGGCCTCCAGTAGTCCAGGCCTGACCTTCTTTCCTGGCCTTCCTGGATCACCACTCATGTTGTTGAGTATCGATGGTTCTTTCCTCACTCATCCTTGGACGATGTGGCTAGGAGTCCCTATGGTCACTCCAGCCCACGACGGCCTGGCCTTGTTTGCATCTGCCATTGTCTTTTGAATGATCTCTCTGTCTCATTCTGTTGTCCCCAATGGGAGTTTGAGCTCCTTGGGGCAAGAGCGGAGCAGAGACTGGGTGTCCCAAGGTGTGGTCCTGGTCCCAATCCTTCCCCCCAGCAGCTGTATGATACTGAGCGAGTCCCCTGGGCCCCCAAGTGCTCTGGCCCTCTCTGGCTACAGAGGGCAGTGAGCTGCTCGCGGTCACCAGGAGGCCAGTCGCTGCAGAGAGGACAGGCAGCCCTGCCTGTTCAGCAGTGCCTCTGCGCTGTGGCCCCGGGGACTTCCCCCCACCAGGGAGCCTGGCAGATGGGAGATGAGTGGGGGCAGGGGGACACAGCATCAGGCCCCCTGGGTTTGCCAGGTAATTATGCATTAGGAGCTAATATTAATAAAGGCTCTAGGAAGGGGGTTTTAATTCCAGATCTCACCACCAGATTATTGCACATGAGGGAAATATCAGGCCCCCAAACTCTCTCTATCCCTCGCCCTCCGTCTCTAAGCAAGCTGCTGTTTTTATTAATTCTGACTGGATTTTTCCAGGCTGGGCAAGGAGGGAGGATGGGAAGGCATGGGGGGGAGAAGGTACGGGGAGAGGTGGAACAAGGCAATTCAGAACAGACTTTGGAAAACATGGACGCACACGGAGCCGGTGCCTTCCACCGCTCACCACTCTTTTCCCACCCCACACCCGCCCAGCCCAGAGTGAGTGTCCCTGGGGGTGCAGGCCCCAGCTCCACCTGCACCTGCAGAAGGGGGCACCTCACCCCCACTTCTCTTCCTCCACTCTCAGCTTCCTCCTTTCTCATCCCTTCCTCTCCTAAGACTCACAGTCTGAGCTTCCTGCACACCCGACTCCCAACCCATGGCTCTGACTACGGGAGGTACCTAAGAGTGACACTGCGATTCAACCTCTAGGAATTTTCCCCCCAAACAAACAAAGTAAAAGGAATGTTGGAAAAATCTAAATGTCTATCAAGAAAGGTTTGTTTCATTTTAGTACAACAGAACCCTGGACCACGCTGTATGTAACGAACTCAAATAATCTGCAAGGTATGTCATTGAGGGGAACAAAGCAAGATACAGACCAGCATGCACAGAGTGCATGTACCCTCTGTGTACAAATACACACACACACACACACACACATACACATTCTTCTATATGCACCTCATGACCTAATTCTGCATAAGTTTGTTGTAGATGATGGAGGACAAGAATAGAAAGACTGGAAAGGAGGTGTCCAAGACCAGACCCTGACTCACACAAGGAGGTGGGGGTGGAGGGGAATAACATGACATTAACCCAGCTGTAGAGGTCGTGACCCTTAGGCACCAGTGCCTTATCACAAGACATGGAGATTGGGCCCACCCCGGAATCTCTGATCCCTTTCTAGTTTTGCCTGTTACCCAACATCAGCAACGAGCAGGCCACCCCACGGAAGAGTGACCCCTCCCAAAGAGAAAAGACCTATATCAATGCAGTCTCCACATATGCTCGGAGCAGCGCTCCCACTGCCCTCCTGTGACTATGCAGGTGCCTCGTCTCACCAACTCTCTCCCTCTGCAGGGCAGAAGATTTCTGGATGCCCATGATCTGTACCGTGCCAGGACTTCACTTCAATGACCTTGTTCAGTGGAGGCCGCTCTCCTCAAGGCCGCCCGCCTGTGACCATGCAGGCCTCTCTTAGTAAACCTGTCCCTTTCTCTTTCCCACATGAACTTGCTCTTTAAATATAACTAACGTCTCTGTGTCATGGCCGCGTGCCGCTGAAACAGGAGTTCTGGTGAAACATTTCCCAGAGTGAACCCAAGGACCCCGCACTCCAACAATCTCATCAGTAGAGACAAAAGGAGAGAATGTGGAGAAAATGCTTGATGCGTGCCTTTTGCATAGTAAGTGCTCAGTTAATGCTTGCTGTTGCTTTCATTTGGCACCTGACTTCCAAATTTCTTTCCTTCCACCTGGATGCCTGCTGGAAAGAGTAGGGGTGGCAGCGGGGGAGGGGAGTAGTGAGAGGGGGCCCCACAGACCAGGAAAACCCCATAGCTCCAAGACCCTCAGGTGGCAGGCAGAACAACTCAGGGCCAAGTGCACAGTAGGTGTTTGCAGCCTGAAAGAGGGAATACTGTGTGTGCTGCTTACCTTAATTGATTTTTCAGAAATGCAAATAGAGGCTTGTGGGCTCACCTTGTGACTCACCTCAGACCCACACTGAACCTGTCAGGGACCCTTCTCTGGGCTCTGTTTCCTAAAGTTCTGGGAACATATATGTATATGCCAAAGATGACTTCTGAGTAGGAGCCCCTAAGTTATTTCTTTCTTTCTGCAGAATGTGCTCCATTAGCTCAAAAGCCTGCTGTCTAAATTCAAATTGTTACCCATCCAGTAGTTTAAAAAATAGCCCAAACAAACAGATTTTAACTATTTAGTGCCCTATTTATGACCTACTTAAATAACCTTGCCCACCCCCACAAAACCTCACTCCGATGGCCATAATAAGAGAGCGCTGCCAGAAGGCCACGCTCCAGCACAATTGGATCCAGCACAATTCCTCTCCTCCCCCACAATCCCAGCAGAATAACATCACCGAGACACTAAGTCTATCCAGTCCTGCTGACCCCTTCCCTTTTAAACTCTGCATGTCACGCTGTGTGGGACTTCCCTTCTCAGGCTACCTTGTCCACACACCACCCAATAAATCTTGAGTGTCACTGTCCCTTGTGTTTACACATGTGTCATGGTTAATTTTATGTCAACTTGACTGGGGTTAGGGATGCCCAGATAGCTGATAAAACAGTATTTCTGGGTGCATCTGTGAGAGTGTCCCCAGAAGTGATTAGCATTTGAATCAGAGGACCGAATAAAGATATTCTCACAGAGAACATCTCCAATCCATTAAAGAGCCAAGTGGAACCAAAAAATGAATTAAGTGCGAATTCTTTCTCTTCTTGAGCTGAGATGTCCATCTTTGCTGTCCTCAGACATTGGAGTTTATGATTCTTAAGCCATCAAACGCAGACTGAATTATACCAGATTTTCTGATTCTCCAGTGAGTGGACAGCACACTGTAGGTCTCCTCAGCCTTCACAACCATAGGAGCCAATATTTACACACACACATACACACATAGACACATACACACACACACATTACTGATTCTGTTTTTCTGGAGAACTTGACTAACAAAATTTTTCCCCTTATTAGCCCCAAAGTCACTTGAACCCCTGTAAGTCTCTCAACCTGAGGTCAGACTGGAGCCAGAAAATTCCAGACAGGCCTATCCCCAAGGTGCCTGGGCTGCCATAACAAAAGAGGAGAAGCTGTGGGTAAAAGACAGACCATAGTTACTTCACTACCTGTTCTCAGAGAAATGTGGCAGTTCCAGAGTGGGAAGCAGGTGCTAATGAAGAGGATATGGCAGATCTGTGCTTTCTGCTATCTGGAGGATGGGGTGGGGCTGGCAGAGACAGGAGGAGACCTTGGGAACAGGGAGAAGATGAGCAGGGCAGTCTATATGTGTGCACATGGAGCAGTTTGATATTACTGAACAGGACGGACATTTCCTTATCCTACAGAATATGCATTCTCACTGGCTGAATAGAGAGAATACCCCATAGAGAGATTCTTGTGCACATGTGCCAGAGAAATTAAGAATGAGCATGGTGTTATGCATCAAGCTATGAAACAATGGCCCAAAATAACAATTAGAAATAATCCAGGTGTCTATTTTTAGCATAAACAAATAGACTGTATCTATTTACACATTAGAGTACTATACAGCAGTGAAAACTGAGGATGAGAAAGCTGCACACAACATGGACAACTGTAGAAAAAAATTGGGGCAAAAAAAGTATCACAGAAAAATATATGCTGAGTTATCTCATTGGTATGAAGAACCAAAGGAAGCAAACTAAACATGATGATTTAAATGAAGCCACAAAGAAAGGCAAAGGGATAATGAGTGAAATGGGAAACAGTGGTTACCTCAGGCAGGGAGGGAGGAGGAACAGTTTGCAAGGCACATGCAGGGACTACCTAGGCAGGGTTTCTCAAACATTAATATGTGCACGGTCACCCAGGGGTCTTGTTAACAAGCAGATTCTCATTTAGGGGGTCTGGTGGGTGTTGAGAGTCTGCATTTCCTTTATACGTCCACATGCAGCTCTGCTGCAGGTTCAGAGCACACTTTGGGTAGTGAGGTTAAGTCAAGATACTGTAATGGTTTAGCCCAGGGACAGATGGCCCATGATACATCAGAACCACTCAGGGAGCTTCTCAAAAGCACTGATGCCACATTGGTGCAGCCTTTGTAGAAAATGAAAGAAGTTTCCCCTAAACACTACAAATAGGGCCTCCCTGGTGGTGCAAGGGGTTAAGTCTCAGCACTATGAAGCTATCAGTAGCCTCTGCAGCACAAGTTCGATCCCAGCCAGGGAGCGAACCCACATGGCGCAGCAGACCTCTCCTGTCTCGCCCGCTGCTCCCCTCAGCAGTGTTTTTCAGTCAATTTGTCGGTTCTGCTCCCCACTCTGTCTCTGATGAATCCTTTCACCTTCCTCCTGTGCCCTTCCCCCCGCATCTCTGGTCTACACCCCAGCTCTAATATGCATAAATAAATAAAATAAATCTTTAAAAACAAAGATTAAAAAAAAACACTACAAATAGAATGACCCTATGATCCAGCAACCCTAGGCCCTCCCCAGACCAATTAGCTGAGCATCTCTGGGGACAGAGGCAGGCGTGGATATTTGTCAGAAGCTCCCCAGGTAGTTGTACTATGCCGCAGATGGAGGCCACCAGCCCACCTCTAGGTCTAATGGGTAGTCTACCAGTGTTCCTTTAATTTTCCTCCTTTAGGCTTTTCATGAATGCTAACTTTGTATGTATGCGTCATACAAAAAATAAAAAAAATTAAGATTAAAACAAGTGTGTAGTGAAGGAGTCAAGCTGGGAGATGAAGGATCAGGGAGAAGACAGAGCAAGGCACTAAAGAGGATTCCTGAAAATGCTTCCCTCTATCACCCAGGAAGCCTATCGACCTGTTAGTCCTGTCCGTTTGCACAGCAGGCTGCTGCTGTGTTGGTGGTCAGCCAGCCAGCCATCTGTCAGTGCCGGGGTCAGTCAGGCAATAGCACAGTTGTTAAGTGGTGGGTTGGTCCATCAGCTAGCAAGTCAGTCCAGCTGTCATTGAGCAGGCCTGTCTGCTTTCAATCATCCAGTGAATTGCGCTGTATGGTGGTCAGCTGTTCCGTCAGTCAATGTTTTAGTCACTGCTGTCAGGCAGTCAGTTAACTATTACAAGGTCAGCCGCGTTGTCAGTCATTCTGCGGGTATGCAGCCCATTGCTATGAGGGTTAGTGTGAAAGGCCTGTCTGCGTAGAGCTGTCAGTGATCAGCATGTCAATCAATAAATTAGCTAGTTGGTCAATTATAATGTTAGCAAGTGTGAGTCAGTCAGTGAGATGGTCATGAGGTAGTCCAAGGTGAAACAGCTAGTTAATCAGTCTGCCATATAGATATTGTCTGTCAGCCCCCACAATGGTGAGACAACTTTAGTCAGGAAACCCACAAGTCTGTCAGTCAGACTGAAGGATGCTAAGTTTGTTGGCAGTATTTGGGTAACCTATGAGTCTGTCAGTTAGACACTATATCAATCTAGTCAGGCAATTAATTGGCCAGTCCCCATGTCAGTGTTTGAGTCAGTGAGTCCGTGAGACAGTCTTCAGTCAGGCAATCCATATGCACCTCATTCACACGCTGTGTCAGCCAACCTCCGAGTCCATCAGTCAGACACTCCCTTTGTTGGCTCGTTGCTGAGTCAGTCAGTGAGATGTGAAAGCCGGTCAGTCACACATCTGTCAGTCGAATGCCCACTGTGTCTGTCAGTCTGGTGACTGGTAGTTCAGGCAACATGCCAGCCAGGCAGCCTCAGGACAGCCTCTGGCACCAAACTATCAAACTTTCCAGTCCACCAGCCCCAGCTCCCCTCTTGCATCTTTGTTACTCCTCTAACTACTCCCAGTCTCTGTGAGCAGCTTTCTGGGGAACCAACCTAAAGTAGAGATGATCAAAAGTACTGCAGACTTGGGGAGAACTCTGCGGCCTGCTCAAAGGTGAGGTTCTGTAACTATTATTATCTAAGAAACTTCCCAAGGCTCCGGAAAGAAGAAACAGTCCTTCAATAGACAGCGTTCTACTTCCCCCCCGCCAATTCTCTCTCCATTAATGAGGTTCCTGCCACAGAGAAGGGGCTCTTCCCGGAGGCCGGAATTGGAGGAGGAGGCAGGTGGTTAGTGAACTGTTGCAGTCAGTCTGGGGCCTGCCTGGTTAGTCATACTTGGGGGTGGGTGGAGAGGGGGCTGTCCTGACCAGGAGCCATCTCCTTTCTCTCACCTGGCCCTGCCCCTCCCTTGGGACATCATGTCCTCCCACCCAGAAGTCTGAGCGGCCCCCTCTGGATAAGCAGAGAGAGGCAGGGGCAAGTAGCCACGGTGGGCCTGAAGGAACATGGATTTTATGTCATCTCTCATTTTCATCTGCTGTGACTCAAAGAGGAAAGGAAAAAAAAAACACAGTTGCTGAGTCTACTTTTCATTTCAAGGAAGTTACATTTCCATTA